TGTCCATTGTTTGTGATTTAAGGAATAGGGTGTTTTCGCTTTTTTTTGAAAAGTATAACTGGCAATTTTGTAAGAAGAATTTCATTTACTTGCCTACCTACTTTATTTTTTCAACTACTTACCTGCTTACTTTACTTGCCTGTTTTCGTGTTTGCTTATTCACTTGATAATTGGAACAACTATCAGTTCTTCATAAAAACCACAGCAGTTTCTTCCTTCACTTCATAACTGTCTTGACCAATGCTGCTGGGTCTGATGGTCAGCCTTCTGTCGATTCTGACATTTCTTTTTTCCCCTAAAAGGATAGCTAGCACCCAGCAAAGGCACTTTAGCAACGTTTTAGCCACTTGCCAATTCAAGGGTCTACGTTGAGCGACATTACCTGGGCTCAAAGCACTGTCACTTCCAGATCACGTTAACTTTGCCGACCGAGAGTGAGAAGAATTATCTGCAGATAGTTCCCCACTGTTAACTCATATTCTCATAACAGTTATATATTGTAATACTTTGATCAGCTTCAATTTCACTAAAGCTAGCGCAATTTGCTCCTCCAGCACAAAAGGCAGTCCATGCTTACTGAATTCGCAGTTGTGTCAACTGGGAATCAGTCTGCTGATGATCCTAGCATTCATTTTCTTGCTTGCATTTTCTATTCTTTAGGACCGGAAACTTCTTCGTTTCCCGATTTCCTTTCTGCATTTATGTAGTTCCAGCACTTTTTCGTGTTTTTCATAACGGCTAATTTTGTAGAAGAAAATGTGCCAGTTCTGGAAGATTGCCGTTCAATAGTTCCCAAAAGCACTGGAATTCAAATTTAGGGATAACTGGAATCATAAAAGGGACGGATGTGTTTTAAGGAGTTATATAGGTTTCGATATGTAAATGAAAGTTCGGAGAATTCCTGCTAATTATTTAGCTTATGACTAATCTGCCTGTTTTTCTTTAAAAAATTGAACTTTTTACCATTTTTTTGAAAACCTGACAAAAACTGAGCAGTTGGAAATTTATTGCATTTATGACGACTTCACAGCGGAGGGTTTTTTATGATTTTGCAATAACAATTAATCAGACACCCACACTGATAACCCCAGGGATATCAGTATTCATGGTAAATGTTAGCGATTAAAAAGCCTCGAATTCAAAGAAAATTTCCTGGCTGTTTTTATGATATCCTAACTGTATGTTTCTGAGAGAATATTTCACTTTGCTTTTTTTTGAACTCGGAGAATGCAAAATTATCAAAATGCATAGCATTACAATGAGTAATTTGCACACTATCTGACTAATACGAATGCGGGAAATTGAAGTGGATTCAACTGCTGCTGAGGAATGTCTTCTTTCCGGTTCTAGAAATGTATTCATGTCTGTATCATCTAAACGTGGAGCATCTTTGTTTGATTCTGAAGCACTGTGTCTGCACGAATCTCGTAAAAAGAGGCCTGTGGTATTGCGACATTGCATTTTTGATGTTTCGCTGCTAAAACTGCTCTTTTCTTTGCAGCTGACAATGTGGTGCCCGGTGATTTCAGTGATGAGCTTTTTACTGCTTCATGTGAGAATGAGCATTTGTCAACTGAATGATTACAATGAAAAGATGGTGTTCAGTTTCATCGAGACAGCGGCGAAGCGAAATGTCAGCCAAGTTTGTGGAGATAGCCTACTGAAGGTATGTACTAGCCACCGTTGTTTTTACATTTCCTATCTTACACAGCAAATTTTTGTGCATGCAGCATGAAAATTTTTGTGAGTTTTTTTATAAAATCCCGACAGTTTCTGCAAATCCCGACAGTTTATAAAATCCCGACATAATTTGGAAGTTAAACTCCTACTAAATCCACTTTACTTCTCCTAATATTTTCCTTTGTTCCTCCCTTTAATTTTTGTCTTTCTCTTCATACCATCATATCCCTCACAACATTTAGTGCCGCTCATTATCTTAATTTTCCGCTGTTGAGCTAGCACCATAGAACAGTTCTAGCTTTTTGCATATATGCAAATGCAACCCAGGCTGGAGCGCACCGGGCTCTCCGGTGCGATCATGCGTTTTTGAACTAAACTCGCAG